CAAGATCTCGGTTCTTTCTGAAAACAATAGAGAAGTATCTGCTTTACTCCTCACGAATCCAATAATGCATATGAAGTTAGCAAACCTCGAATTCTAAACTCTTGGTGCTTGTTTGAAGCCATAAATAACTTTTCTTAATTTGCAGACATGGTTGGGGAAATTTGGAGCCACAAAACCCGATACTTGATGCATATATACTGTCTCTTCTAGATCTCCTTGCAAAAAGGCATTTTTTACATCCAATTGATGAATTGGCAAATCGAAAGAAACACCAATGTTGAGAATGGTACGAATCGTTGCAGGCTTGACGACGGAACTGAACGTCTCAGTGAAGTCGATTTCAGCTTCTTGTGATTTGCCATTTGCTACCAAACGGGCTTTATGGCGTGTAAGAGCTCCATCTGTATCATATTTATGTTTGAACAACCACATGGATTTAATGATATTGACCCTTGGAGGTCGAGGTACAATATCCCAAGTTCTAATTTCAATCATAGCACCATGTTCATCAGTCATCGCTGGTGTCCAATTAGGATCAGAGAGAGCCTGTTTATAGCTTTTTGATAGGGAAGGTTTTGAAGTAGTGAGAAGAGAAAGAAACCGTTTCTGTTTTCGAATACTAGCCTTGCCATGAGTTATCATTATGTGACGAGAGCCAGGGAGACTAGCTTGTTGTGGCTGGTTATTTGGAATGGGAGTCGGGTGTGGTGTAGGAGTAGGAAGAGGCGTTTGAAGAATGGCTCGAAATTGTGGGAAAGGGTTCATGATTTTTCGACAAAAAGATATGGTGATTCTCGATTTGGATATCTTTCAGCAGCTGAGAATTCCGCCTCGAAATGAACATGGCGAGAGATGATGATCTTATTAGTTTTTAAATCAAGACATCTGTATCCATGGTGCTGTGAAGGATATCCCATAAATAAATAAGGTGTTGACCTTGGAGAGAGTTTATGGAGGTTTGAGTTATTCAAATTAGGGAAACATAAACATCCAAATACTCTCAAATGATCGTAAGTGAGTTTTTTCTTGAAAAGCAGAGTGAAGGGAATTTGATTTTAAATTGTGGAAAAAGGTATGATATTTAAGAGATGGACTGCGACATGGAGAGCTTCAACCCAATAACATGGCGAAAGCTAAGCTTGAAAGAGAAGAGTTCGCACAGCGTTATTTATGGTTCTTATTATTCGCTCAGACTTCCCATCTTGTTGGGAGGTTTAAGGGCATGAGAATCGAACATTAATTCCACTTGTATCAAAATATTCATGTAATTCTTTGTTGTTAAATTATTTTCTATTGTCGCATTGAAAGGATTGAATCTGGGCACCAAACTGATTTTTGATATATGCCATAAAGTGTAAAAATTTTGAAAAAACATCACTTTTACGTCGAATTGGATAAACCCAGAGAAATTGAGTGAAATGATCCAGAAATAAAACATAATAACAAATCCCACTAATGCTTAGAATTGGTGAGGATCAAACATCAGAGTAAACAATTTTAAAGGGTTTATAAATTTTTGTTTGTGAAGGATGAAATGGAAGCTTTGTTTTTTTTTTCCAAATGACAAGGTTGACAAGAAGAGATTAACTTGTCGTTATTACAAAGAATATAATTTGATGAAAAAATAGAATGAAAAGTAACATTAGTGGCGTGGTCGAGCCGTTTGTGCCACATCATTTTAGTGGAGGCCAAAAGAGCTGTTGAAGTTAAAGAAGAATTTTTGTTCAGAGAAGCTGGAAGAGGGTAATGATCACCAGAGCTTTCACATCAGAGCAGAACTTGCCGAGTTTGAAGGTCCTTAACAGAAAAGCCAAATGGATCAAACTCAACACTACACCAATTATCTATCGTAAATTTATGAACAAAGATCAAGTTTCTGTCAATTTTATGAGCAACAAGGATATTTAGATGGGGGAGAGGACAAGAACCAGTGTTTAGGGATGAAAAGCCAACGGATGTGACAGGAATTTTGGAACTATTTCCAACGATGACTGAATGATTGGTGTTACAAGTAAAATTAGAGGATATCTGCAAATGATGAGAGGTGAGTAGAGGCTCCAGAATCCATGTACGAATCCATTGTACTAGGATCTAGGAGTGTCTCGCCGCTATAGACGTTGCTGTAGTGTTCCGTCGGCTGAGCTTGCATCAGATTTGCCTCATGTTATGGTCGGAATGGTGGACAAAAGGGAGGTTTTGTCGGAGGTGGACCACGGTATATGCCCACCTGATTATACGGACTCCAATTCCGAAATTGATTGGGCCACAAAGTGTATTGATCAGGCGACATGTTTGAAGGAGTCCAATTAGGGAAATTAGGTTTGAACTGGAAATTACATCTTCCCTGCGATCGATTCCTCTTGTTGCCTCTATAGTTGTTAAACAGCTGTGTTTAATTCTCTCTACTTGGTTGTGGAGTTTGAGCAGCTCTCGGTTGTTGGTTGGAGACGATGAGAGCTGATGATGAGGAAGAGTGATCATTGGGAGTATCCGATGATCCATTGGTCCTCTTGAGTCATGTTTCTTCTCCCTCTAGCATGTGTTTGGCATCATCAAAGGTTGGGAACAATTCCTTTTTTTATATAACATTGATGATGTTGTCATACTTGTTGTTGAGGCCGTTGATGAGGTACATGACCAGTGTTCTTTCTGTAAATGGAGCATCCACATTGGTGAGCAGGTAGGCAATTGATTTGAGTTTTTGAGAATACTCCTTTATCGTCAGATCTCCAATTTTGGTGTTGCGTAGCTCATTATCGAGTTGAATTGCCCAAGCTTCCTTGTTGTTTTGGAATTGGTTTTCGACTCATAGTCAGACGTCTCCGTTTCGCCATTGTTGAGGAAGAAAAGTACAAGAAGCTCAGCAAACTCTTGAAATAGCAGAAGCTAACTTGAGAAAAGCTGAAGGCAAGAGACAAACAATTGAGGCCAATCTAGCTCTCAGACGAGTACCACCAGTTTTGAATGAAGATTGGAACAAAGTTGGAGCTAGAGTGCCGTAGATCTATAATTTAACTAAACCATCACTTTTATGCCAGGTAGCATCAGCAGCACCTGTGGGAAGCGGAGTCTTGTCAAGATGTCCAACGACATTGAAAGCCAAGCAGTGGGTAAGGAAAAGCTCTTTCCAAGCAATATAGTTATGATCATCGAAATCAAGTATGATGGGTATATGAGATTTGATATTTGTGACTCCAAACGCACACTCAATTGCTGCTAAGGAATCAGCCATTGGGAAAAAAATGAGAAATAGAGAAGAAGAGAAATGGAAGAAGGAGACGGTGAAGAGAGAATCAGAGAAGAGGTTCAGGAGCTGATGGCTTTGATACCATGAAAAATAGTGAATTCCTCTTGGGAATTGATCTATTTACGAATGCTATATAAAACCAGAACAGTTCCCCAATATCAAGGATTACAAAGAAGATAATAGCCTAAAATAACTGAACAGTATTGACAGAATATTAACAGAATAATCTATATTTTTATCAGAAGATAATGTTGTTTTCATCGTCGTTTGCAATCCAAAAAATTGGGGAAGAAAATCGAAAGCTAAAGAGCAACCACCACCTGAGGAATCTCCCTCTGAACCTCCATCCTCCGTTTATCCTTCATCTGGTTGTTGTACTAAGTGCGGTGGACTAATGATTTCCGAACCCCCACCTAGATTTACTAGTGGAGATGTCACCGCTACAGAATAATCGCCCAATCCGAGCTCCGGCGATTAACCTTCCACACAATCTTCTTCTCTCATGTTCCTCACGCCGAACAAGTCTCTTGATGATATCTACCATTTTCAGGAATTAATCCTTGCCATATCTCACCGACCGTCGTCGCCATAGTTTCAATCCTTGAGACCTTGTTGCAATGGATCGACGAGAATCCTCATATCATCTCGTTTTGGTAACATCTCATTACACACGCTGAGATAGGCGAATAACTTATTTTTGAGTTTCTTTCTGATGAGTTTAATGAATCTACGATGGCAATGATTCATCTATCATTTAAAAATAACTGGTGTACAACCACGAGGAGTTCAAAGTTAACTTTTTAACGACGACTATGATACGGACTAATTGGTATTATAAGGTCAATATTTCGAAACATGTACCAAATGCAATAGCTTTTCACTGTACGATTTGGGAATTAATCAATGCAATGTCAGATTGGGATACTTATCGCATTAAAGTAAGTGGAATTGTGAAGAAGGAAAATAACAATTTAAAACTTGTTAGTGTATAAGGCTTATCTCAAAAGAAAACAACGTCAAATTCCCTTTTCTAACGTCTTCAACGTATTGGCACATATAGTTGCTTATACAATAATTAGTATTTGATGTTTTGTATTCAACTTTGTAATGATGTTTGTATTTTGGTTGTTTAATGAAAATAATTTAGCAGTAAAAAAAAAAGAAAAAACAAAAATTAACTGTTTAAAGGAGTAAAAAGCAAGATTTGTTTTAAAAGAAAGCCCAATCTTTTAAATGGGCCTACCTAGCCCAAAGTTTGTGGAGATTAACCTTTCTTTATAACTCACGATTTCTCGAGTGTCTGCATTTACAAACCCTAAGCATTCAAGCGGCGCCACCCAAAGAATTTTGACGAGGCTTCCAATCGCAATCCGAGGTATCTCTCCATCTTCAACATTTCCGACTCCTAAAGGGTTATTCGTTACGGATTCTCACCAATCCTCCGTTTAGTTGTACTCGTACGATACACAGATATTTGGGTTTGGATTCTTGTTGGTTTTCAGTAAATTTAGTGGTCATCTAGGGAATTAACTCGTGCTAAGTTTGTCCAAGTTCATGAGGAATTCAATTGAAGATATCTTAGCAAGACATTCAAGAATTTAGAATACAAATTATACTTATCAGATTTGGGTCTCTCAAGTTAATTGCTTTACAGGAAAAAAACAACTCTTATGTACTAATCACTATTGATTTTTGGTTTGCATTCTATTGATTATCTTATTTGATTTGAATTTTGATGCTTTTGTGTAGAGTAAATCAGAATGGATTCTCAGATCAAGCATGCCGTGGTGGTGAAAGTGATGGGTCGTACCGGATCAAGGGGTCAGGTGACCCAAGTTCGAGTGAAGTTCACAGACTCTGATCGTTTTATTATGCGCAATGTTAAAGGACCAGTGAGAGAAGGAGATATCCTCACTTTGCTCGAGTCCGAGAGAGAAGCTAGGAGACTTCGTTGATGTTTCTCTCTTTTTATTCCTCTTGACTGGATTGAGATTATGCTTTTCAATGGAATTTTGTTGTGTCTTTAAGACAATTTGCTCTGTTTTGGTCTTTAAAGTCTCTTGTCTGAAACTCTATATCATCAGAACTTGTATCACACATCAAGAATTTGCCCTATGTTCTAAATCTGGTTCAACCTAAACCAACAGTCACATCTTCAATTCAAGGAAAAACCATTCCTTTAGTTAATGCCCTATGTTCTCAATCTGGTCTTCTCAATTCAAATTAAGCTTGGTTAACTGATTTTAACCCTCCAAAATCTCTCTGGACTACACAAACTACCAAATTTAATATATCAACCAAATCCTCTATGTAAAGTTACAAGCCTTAATTCGTAACAAAAATATGTTCCCCAAGTTATTCTCTAATGTTTCAAATCTCTGCTTCAAAGTAGCTTTCAAACTGGTTTTAGGTTGATCCGTTTTAAGCCTTCAAATACTTCACAACTCGTGTACTTAAGTGGTCGATCCGAGTGTTGGGAAGTGGAAGAAGAAAACTACGAGATCTCCAACAACAACAAAAAAAAGAACATAAGCCTTCTCGTATATACAACTAAATGCATATAGATAAAACAGAATGTTTTAAAATCGCAGATGCATCTTGTTAAAAAGAGCTAGTAAATATGCATTTTCTCTTAACATTTTCGACGAAAAAAAAAAAAAAAAATTTATTAAGGGTTTAGGGTTTAGGCAATCTAGAGATTGATTTTGGAAACTAATTTGAAATTAACCGATTAAGCTTAAACCGATCGGATTGATCGATTAAACAACAAAACCGGTTAAATTAGATTTAATTTTGGAAACCGGTTATTAGGGTTATTAATCGGTTAAGGGATTAAACTAAACGGTTTGCTAGGGTTTAATTTTTATTAGGAAAAACCGATCAGTTTAAACTTAAACCCTATCGATTTAGGATTAGAATTTATCGGTTTATAAACGGTTTAGGTGGATCGATTGGTTTAGAGTTTAAGGGGTCGATTGGTTTAGGATTTAGGAGCTTGCATGGACCGGTTTTAGGGTTTTCAAGGATCGGATCTAAGATAAATAACCGATCGGTTTAGGATTTAAACCGATCGATCTCGGTTTAACGATAGACAAACCAAAACGATTTTAGATCTAGGGTTTTGCAAAGATTTAGGTTTCGGTTTGCAAGGAATTTTAGTGTTTGGTTTAGATAATGCTAGGACCGATCGGTATAGGGTTTGAACAAAGCATTAGGGTTTAGGTTTTATATGATAAAGCCGATTAGGAAAATAAAACCAATTAGGGTTTTGACAAGAAGAAAGAGGATCGGTTTGGTTATGGTTTTAAAAACGAAAAAAAAAACGATGAAGAATCATGAAAAGAACCGATCCATATTAGGGTTTTCAAAAAAAAAAAACCAAAACTTTGATTAGGATCTATAGTTTTAGATAATACCTTTTCGTCAAATGGATTGATTGAGATTAGGATCTAAAGTTTCATTGATGTCGACATCTTTTCTGTTCCATAGAGAACCGAATATGATATAATTGATTGAGATCTCATTATTATCAATCCCTTCAGAACCTTGAGTTTTGGCGTCCCAAACCTCTTGAGATGGTTCGATAGGGTAAGTATCAGCTGAGGCTGTATCCGTGTTCTCTTGAATCCCGGTTTCAATCATTGCACCTTTCTTTGATTTCCGGGGATTCTTATCTTTGGAACCTGGTGGTCTGCCACGTTTTTTACGTGCGTCAGACTCTGTAGCAACTTGACTTTTCCCTGAGGGGACATCTATTCGTACTGGTGCATTACAAGCTGGTATGTACGATTTGGTAACTTTGTTCGGGTCAGCAAAGGAATCTGGCAATTGATTAGCTAGTTTTTGTAAATGTATAATTCTTTGGACCCTTGAATCACATTCTAGAGTCCGAGGATCTTGCCATTGTGTGGATGTTTGATTCCATGAAAGTTCTTTTACCAGCTTGTCTGTCTCACCACCTAATCTAGGATATACCGATTCATCAAATCGGCAATCTGCATATCTGGCTTTAAACAGATCTCCTGTAGTTGGCTCGAGATATTTTATGATGGTGGGAGAATCAAAACCAACATATATTCCCATCCTCCTTTGAGGTCCCATTTTAGTCCTCTGTGGTGGTGCAATGGGTACATAGACTGAACACCCAAATGTTTTAATATGGGAGACGTCTGGCTCATGACCCGTTAGCAATTGGGATGGTGAATATTTGTGCTCACTAGATGGTCGTATGCGTATTAGTTCAGCGGCATGTAAGACTGTGTGTCCCCAAGCTGAGACCGGGAGTTGTGACCTCATGAGTAATGGTCTAGCAACCCATTGAATTCGTTTAATGAAGGATTCAGCTAATCCATTTTGTGTATGGACATGTGGAACGGGATGTTCAACACTTACCCCCATGGACAAACAATATTCATTAAACGCTTGGGAAGTGAATTCACCAGCATTATCAAGACGTATAGTCTTTAATGGGAAGTCTAGAAAATGGGCTCGTAATCTGATGATTTGGGCCAATAACCTAGCAAAAGCCTGGTTCCTAGAAGAGAGCAGACAGACATGCGACCAGCGGGTCGATGCGTCAATGAGGACCATGAAATATCTGAATGTCCCACAAGGTGGGTGAATTGGTCCACATATGTCTCCTTGGATTCTTTCCAGAAAGTTCAAGGTCTCTTTAGACACTTTGACTGGTGAAGGTCGGGTAATCAGTTTCCCTTGTGAGCAAGCTGTGCACTTGAGGTGCTGAGGGAAAATACCATTTGGTTTAAGGCTGTGCCCTTTAGAATTCTGGACTAATTTACGCATCATGTTCGCACCGGGATGACCCAGGCGATCATGCCAAATAGTGTAATCTAAAAACCGTGTTTTGATAGCAGCATTAGCCTCAATCATACTGACTTTAGCATGGTAAATGCCAGTAGATACGGCGGGTATAATTTCAAAAACTTGTTTATGGCCATTTATCATTTTAGTGATAATTAAAAACTCTTTGTTCCCTTCATCCTGAGTTTCGATATGGAAACCATTCAATCTTATGTCTTTGAAACTCAATAGGTTTCTCTTAGAACTGGATGAGTATAAGGCATCAGAGATGTCTAGATATGTGCCATTTGATAACAACACATTAGCTTGGCCATGGCCCTCTATTAGGCTCGAACTACTCGCTATAGTGCTAATGTTTGCGGTTTTGATTACTAAATTTATGAAGTAATTCTTGTCTTTTAGAATGGTGTGGCTCGATCCACTATCCACAATGATATCCATATTGTCTTGCATATCTTTTCGCCAAATGGATTTCTGACCGGCTTATGATCTGGGAGCTAAAGACCACAGATATCTACTGGAAACTCCTGAGAATGATGGCCAGAAAGGAGGACGAACAGCTGCTACAATGGAGGAACCACCGCTTGGAAAGAATCACCCGCTAAGGTGGGACAGCGCCGATTGTTTTGAGTCTTGAGGGCGCGTCTGGTGTCGGATTGAGGAGCGGTTTTCACCACTAGATTCTTCTCTTCCAGGGCTTCAAAATGATATGTAGATCTCCTTCTAACTCCTTGTATATTGAGAAATATGATCGTTTGAAGTTGAGCTTCGTGCTGATAACGTATTAAGGGAAAAACTCTTATCTTATCGTTTCCATAAGCAGTGTATATATACATTATATAACTAATGTATCAGAAACCTTAATGGGCCATGAGACATTAACCTGATGGTTAATGGGCCGGTTACTAAAAGTCCATTTGTTTATAACAGCATTTTCTTTTTATTCACACCATGAATTTGTTTTAAAAGTTGTCAACAAAAAAAATGTTGTTTTTAGAAAACAACAAATAATGCAGCGGTTGAACAAAAAAAAAAAACTAATCAATGAAAAATGCGTCGAGAAAACAACAAACAGTAGAAGAATATGTGTGATTAAAATATAATGGCGCTTGTCTTAGCCTGCATTAGAGTCGTGATTCTCTTTCATTCTTATTTTGTTTCTTTAGATATTTTATTCTACGTGCTCTTCAAGTAAAGGATGTGTTGACTATTCCACCAAAAATAATAGTTTAGGACCACAACATAAATCGAAAGTATTGCGCTATTTATTTACTTGTACACATCAAACTTTTATTCAACACTCAAAGCCTAGCACAAACTAATGAAACATGTGCTTCAGGGCCGGTGGAGTTAAATATTTTTTTTGGACCAATTTTCTAGAATTGGAGTTAGTCCAAATGGTTTGTGATAGATGAAAGCATGTTTAGTTAAAGGTTTGCCTGGGTTCAACTCTTCCCAAATGCATATATGTCATTTTTTCTTCTTTTTTGCCAATTATTTATGGACTAAGCTGCATTAAAAAAAGTTTTAAGGGGCCAATTTTTTTTTCCCGCTTGTAATTAGAGAAATCTCAGGCACGACTCTGTCAACAGTCAACACAGCAATGCATATATAAAAGCAAACAAGCATTACCCTCAAAGATGGAATAAAGCTTAAGAAAAAAAAACTATCTCATAGTTTCAAACATTTTCTAAGGTTGGTCTATTCTCTTAACAATGTCATCATCATCAGTTCCTGATTACTTGAGAGATGATGATCTGACACAAGAAACACGAGATCTGATTTCATCTCTTCCAAGCGAGAAAGGTTGGTTGGTTAGCCAAATGTACCAATTCAAAGGATTTTGGCAAACACAAGCTCTGCTACAAGGAATCTTGAAGTGCCAAAAACACTTTGAAGCCAAAGATTCGGACATTATCCTCGTCACCAATCCTAAATCAGGTACCACCTGGTTAAAAGCTCTTCTCTTTGCCCTCATTAACCGACACAAGTTTCCAGTTTCTTCTTCTTCTTCTGGTGACCATCCTCTTCTGGTTACCAATCCGCACCTTCTTGTGCCCTTCTTGGAAGGAGTTTACTACGAATCTCCAGATTTCAATTTCTCCGAGTTGCCTTCTCCAAGACTCATGAACACTCACATATCGTATCTTTCGCTGCCCGAGTCGGTTAAGAGCTCGTCTTGTAAGATTGTGTATTGTTGTAGGAACCCTAAGGACATGTTTGTTTCCTTATGGCATTTTGGAAAGAAACTTGCTCCTGAAGAAACAGCAGATTATCCGATTGAAAAAGCGGTTAAAGCGTTTTGTGAAGGGAAGTTTATCGCT